ATTACAGGACTACGCTGAGACTCCGTCTCGCACAGAACAAAGGCCGCAGTCGTCCCCTGCGACATTACGTAAACAGTAGCGTCGGCATACGACGTATTGTTATCTTATAGGTTTGAACCTTGGTGTGACTTGCTCAATGAGACTGGTCGAAGTCCCTAAGAAACCTACACGAAAGTAACGAATATCTTAAGCTCTTACCTTAGAAACCTCCAAACTAGCTTTATCCCCCCGCTGGAGTCCTAGAATTGCGAAACGAGACTGTCACCAAAAAGATGCGGCAGCTTAATCGGATGCTGTGAAAGCTTCAGCTATAGCCAAAGTAATATAACAGTCACAGCTGGATGAAGACATAGAAGAGACCTTAAGTTGCGCAAAAAGGACAAAGAATGGCCAACTCAAGCAAAGACATCCGCGAAAATCTTCGACACCGCTAGGTGCCACCGAGCGAATGGCTCGTTTAAGGAATGTGAATGCTTGAGAACTAAATAGTGCACTACAAGGTCCTTTAAGCGGTTATGGGGTCTTTAGAAGCTTTATATTAAGCTTTGTTCCTTGCATTACCATGAGAAAGAGGCTTATAGTCTATCTAATGTCTAGATACCACATGTGAAAACGAAGGGTAAAGTGGCCATACATTAGTTATAGTCGTGTTGTGCAGTATCTATAGATTGTACCCGCTTTGTAGATAAGAAGTGAGCTTCTCCTGCGGTACTTCTGGAAAGGAGAGGGATTCAGTAAAATCTTTTACACATTGGGTATAATAAATAGCTTATAGTACCTTGCCCACACAGATTATAAGTAGTTACCACTTATCCATCATGCTAACTTAGAAGTACTGTGGCTGCAAGGTATGTTTACCCGCTCCTAAGGTGATTCAAAAGTTCACAAAAGATTGAATCTCAGCGCCTCTATCACTGTGAACGACAAAAATGTGACCCACGTCCCTATACGTAAGTAATAGCTTTGTCCTCCTTCCTATTCATTTTAAGTTTTCACTCTGATCAGCGAAAGCTCTTTAGTTTGGCGCAAGCAGAGAAACCCGAACTTGTCCTAAGTATTTAGTAATAGTTGGCCTCTTAAGGTTCTCAAAACCAATTGGTGCCAACCATATTTAAGTGGGGATAGAGGGTGGTATTTCTTTTGCTATAAATTAGTTGTGTAGAAAGGTTTATCCCTATAATAGATCTCTAAAATTCGCACCCTTATGATCATTAAGCGCTGAACATCGTTATTAGTATCATGATGCATTCGATTAAGAAGCTTTCCTTTGTTGTGCCTATGTTACTACTAGGAAGCCACGCCCACATTAGCTACTTAGACAATGGCACTTATACTAGTCTCTCTACAGCCTGGCCCTATCTAGACACAGTCATTGCTCGAACATTTAAGACAAATTTTGAGTGCCCGTTATTGCCGTCCTGGCAGAGGCTGTCCTTTAACGGTAGCGTGTCTTCTGCTTATGTTGGTATCGGTATCCCAAATATTATCATAATCGTGAACGACTGTCTAGATTTATGGGTTATAGGCGCACACCTTATAGTCCCAGACAAGTATAGTAAGGTCGACACAATAAATTCGTCTGAGCTCGACACTAACGTACTGATTTCTAAGAACTATATTGCGTATAAGGTTCTCACCTTAGAATTAACTAATATCCGACCCTTCTTAGAGCCCAGCGGTGTTATATCCGGGTACTCGTTGCTCAGTATTTATGTCAATGTAACTCAGGCTAGCGACGTTTACCTTGTTTTATGTCCCACTGAGTAAAAACGGTCGCGAGCGTACATCGCTATGGGAACAGAGGATGAGGACGTAGCCGAACCTGGTCAGGCTGACAAATATTTGACTATGGCATGGTACTTAGAGGCTTTCTACCCGAGGATTGGAACTTATTGTTAGTGGTCATTACCACAACAGAATTGCTAGGCCTTAGAGAGATTTTCTGGGGAATATATACTGCCATGTGTCCTCTCTTATGAAAGGAGAGCTAACGCCCGCAACATTCTCGGCAACTAAAACGTTATGAGTCTGTATATCTCACAAATAAAATGGATAGGAGACATATAATATTAATTAGGCTTAACGAGCAGTAAATACTAAAGAGAAACACGTAATTTAGTTTAGAAGGATTTATGAGATCTTTCTCGCACTTATATATATGTAAATTGCCTTGTAAGTAGAGTGAATAGATTAAGGAGCTTCTGCTAAAACGATAATAGGTCTTAAAATCTTAAATTCTAACGCTTTAAAAGGGCTGTGCATTAAAGATAAAGGTTCTGAGAAGCTTTGTAGACGGAGTGCTATACCTATGAGTAGAAAGACATGTTACTCTATCCGGATCCAGTATTTCTTGATTTTCACCAATCTAGGGTAAAATTAGGCATAAACACATTGCAGAAAATTAAAGGCGGTTGTTACGAATCAGGCCTCTTATGAGGTTGCAGACAAAGCTGTGACGACAGCCGGTTGGCGTTAATACGTCCGAAACACGTGAAAGCCTAAGGGCGTGGTCACGTGGCAGGAGTGGCTCTCAGAACTCTAAGGAATGAGGCCACAGAGCCCAGGGAGCTGCGGGCTCTGTCAGCTCTCCTAGCTCCCACTACAGAGCCCTTGGAGCCGGAGAGAGCCCAAAGAGGTTGAACGGTTATATATACACGGTCGTTACATAGCTTTACCACGTAGTCAACTTCGTTCACGATCATACCCATACGTTTTGGTTGTGATCACTTCGCTCTTGTACTCGCTTAAGTACCGCGCTCTTAGTGACCTCGCCTCTTATACTTCCCGCCTATCGAGACCATACGTCTTGTGACACCCTGTGTGGAGCGAAACGTAACAGCGGTAATGAATTATTGTCGTGACGTTGATGAACTTAGAAGAGTCTAAGGAAGTTGACACTGCCTGCCTGCCTCCCTACCTTTTGTTTAGACTTACGTCCTTATTAAAGTATATCTCACCATTAACATTTCCAATTCCTTACTTTCAAAGATGGTTAGTTAAGAACGAAATCTCTTGGAAATCCTAAATGAATTAGACTTGCTTATCGCGGCAGCCCCTCACGACTACTCGTCGATAAAGAAATTCTATTCGCGCTTTCCGTAACCTCCTTAAATAATACTAATAAGCTCCCTAAAATATTTAACTCGGAAATCTGGGAGAACTAATTCTTAATCGGATGCAACACTTTTGTACAATACTCCTAGACAATAGTACGCGAGCGTTAATTTCAGATTCTTCAGATTAGGAGTTATTCACGAGTCCATAATGAGATATCTCCGGGATAAGCTTGTTCTTGAAGCCACAGATAATTGTTTCACCGCCGCCATTATTACAGCTTATATTCAGTATAGAATCAAATAAAGGAACGCTAATGTTATTACAGCTACAGTATCACAGTCGTTTGCTGTTTCGTGAAGAAATGGCAGCGGACATTCGGGACCCAGTGAAAGATGCCATTTGTTATTACGGCGAGCAACAGAAGCAACTCGAAGAAAACCTCGGCCGCTTGTTTGAATATGGATTCGTGAGGACCTTATTAGAGGCCGTCAGTTCCATGGAACAGCTTTCGACAATAATTCTTTAGTATGGTCGGCAGCACAACGACCTCGAACTAGATAGCTTTACTTTGATTTTTTTTGGAGTAATATCTCTAGGATCGCTGAAGTTAAGATCCTTAGCCCTATTATAGTTACGTGGCGGAAAATTATTAATGAGAGTGTGAATGCCCGTTGCGACATAAAGTGCCAGCATAAAACTGATATAAAAGCTTACAAACTCTATGAGGCTTCTTTGGGCGACAGTTACTTCACATATTCTACCTTAGCTATAGGAAGTTACATTTTAACCTGCTAATATGTTAAGCGACTAGCTCTGAAGTCATTTCCCCAGACTCTTTACTAATTAACTAGTACTGGAAAACTGCTACAGTATAAGATACTCTTAGATCTATTCTTTAAGCTCTAAAGTCCACCTACTGCCGAGTCATTATTAGAGAGTAATGTTTTGACAGACTGCTCCGCTATTTGCCACCGTGCGCAAAGTCATATGGCAACAACATTCCCAAACAGTATTGCTCCTTAGCCGCAATTTCTGCTTTTCATGGGGGACGAGTATTTCACAGCATGAAGTAGACGCATTAGAGCTACTCCATGGTCGCGGGGTCTTGTTTAGGACCTGGAGGAAATGGCCCGCCGAAATCTCAAGAAATCTCAAATTACAAAAGAAAAACGATTGTTTAATTTGGCAGGCATGCTTATACCTTGATATATCGCTTGATCTAGATTCTAGGCCGGTAATTATTTTAACTAAGGGTTCTCTTCACACGTTTAAAGCTATCCTCGCTGAACTTAGATAACGCTCGTATCCACTGGAACTATCGCATTCGGGCAGCCCTCTTCTTTTGAACTCGGATGATTGTGGGGCGATTGAAGTGTTTCGTTGTCGTTGAAACCTCCATTTTAGTCGCAGCTTCGACGTTGTGCCACTAGCGATATTTAAGCCTCGCCGATAGGAGCCTAATCCTCACTTGACAAGGTTTTTCCCTATAGAATTAAGCCGAGATGCGAGCTGGTGAATGAATGGCCCTTTCGCTGAAGCTCCAAAAGAGCTCTCATGACCGGCAGTAGGTTATGAGAAAACATACAGGTTTGAGCTATCTCTGCGTTGAGTTGCGGACGTGCTTTGATAGGTATAAAGATATTGAAGTCATTTAAACCTTCACGGCTTGTCTTTTAATATAGCAGTCCCAGGAGCAGGCAAAGAGAGCGATATGCATTATAATTGGTTAGACAAGTTTGCCCCGCAAACAAGTTCATAAACGGCAGGATACGAGGACTCTGAGGGGTCAGATGTTTGGTACCAATCACGCAAAAATCAAGATCTTCGAGCGGACGGGTGGACATACTGGTGCGCGTAGCGTATACACCGAGTGAGACCTTGGCCGAGGAACGTATACGAGGAAGAAGCTCATTGGCCTCAAAGGGACTGAAGACGACGAGCTTCTACTGACCATCGTAAATCGAATATGCAACCCATTTGACTGCCTTGACATACCAGTCTTGGTCTTCTGCGTGTATTGTTTCGACCGTTTCGACAAAGTCGCGAGTGACGAGGAGATCATTATTTTGGGTCCATGGCGTTAAATCGTACCGCCTTAGATTTGTGTGTTGTAAAGCTTGAAACGCTGGTAGAAAACAGCCGGTCAATAAGCTTGCACGCCTAGTGGCAACAAATTTAGCTACTTCCGGGTTGAGATGCGGATGTTGTGCGGAGACTGGCGTAGGTCGCTCCATTTGTCATTCTTCTTTATTCTCGGGCGCAAGCTCCCTTTCCTCTTATTCGTGAAGAGTTGCTTCGGCTGGTCCCGTGATAGCAAAGGAAGCTAGTTGATTTGCGATCTGATCATTACCCTCGAACACCTTAGTGTTATATTGATTGGATCCGGGTTTGTATCTCTGCTCTAACGTCTGGTACTTAGCTTCTCGCATATCACGAAGGAATATATTTCGCTTAGCTAGGTTAGTTACTGTGTAATATCCCTTGTATAGTGATTCATTTTTATTATAGGTAATACCTTGGTGAGCCCATAATTGCCCCATTCGCGCGATACTTATATAGGAGGATCTGATTATAAACTCAATAATGTTCTTAATTTCAGGCTGTCCGTTCTCTCCAAGTCGCACAATTGTACTACGGATATTTTAGAGGGTGTCATGTGGGACGAGGAAGACGATGCTGTGGTCAGTCCCAAGTTTTCTCATTCGCATACATGCTGTTCAAGTTTTAGCGCCGGCGATGGTACCAACATTCTGTGTGGTTTACTCACCCTGCACGAGACGATCTTTCGTCAAATCCCGCGTCAATGTGACGGCGGCTCGAAAATTTTGAGGGAAACGAAAATCAGTTCCCCGCGTGTGGATATTGTCCAAATAAAATACGCATTAATTAAACTGTCGAACATACGGAGAGATGGCGAGAGGTTCGGCATTACCTAGGCAATCGATAACCATTAGCACGTTATTGTTATTAAAAAAGACGGCTGCTTATGCCTATTAAGGGTCGAATATGCCTAGCCACGTTCTCGCCACCATATAATTATCTATTTCTAACATCTAAGCCCTAATATCTATCAAGACATTCGTGGTGCGGCTAAATGAAGTAACAGCGTTAAGGACTGCTTGGCTCCGCGAAACATTAGTACCTTCTCATTCTAATAAGTGCACCGCGTTTTTAGGTTATAATAGGTGCTTCAAGACTAGAGCGTTAGTGTGCCTTTGCTGTGGCAGATCATTTTGCTCGATCGAAAGCGGAAGGAGAAAGCGCGAATTATTTGTGCCACTAAATCCCGTCGTAGGGCGCCCCGGCCTGTCTTTAGCAAGATTCCATCCGGAGGTAGATAGTTAGTGTGGGAACTCTCTTATGCCCTGTGGAAATATATAGTGAAACATGTAGAAGTTAACAACCAATTTGAGTCGACGTAATGAGGGGAAGATCACTTGATCCCACTCTCTCTTATCCTTAACATTGACACCAGGAAGATGCAGAGGTACGCTCGAGGTCGCGGGCAAGTTAGTAACCCAGGAATGGTATTCGCTCTTAGGATCATCTCTGTGAATGAGAGTTTCGAAAGCCAGTTAAAGCTAAGCGTCATTCAAACCGTAGTAATAATAACTGAGAGAGGTGAGGATAATTATTAAATCCGGGTGACTAAATTTAGACCGAGGAGTGGGCTGATCTTTCGCTCGGAACGAGACAGCCAGCACGCTTCGGTCCAGGGACAGTCTATATATCACGCGCTATCGGTGTTGATGGAGAGCAAAGAGGAGAACTTTATGGGCAAATAGACCTTAAAGAATAAGGAGCTTCTTCTTTAATGTCTTATTATGAGTAGTAATTCTGTTGACAGCGGTAACGATTGTCCTTCTAGGGCGGAGATTCGTGATATAACGTCGAATCTTTTGCCGCTTTCCCTCTGTCACCAGGCCTAGGCGGAGACTCAGCAATCCGTTAGAACATATATTGTTAACCACGCTCTTCATAACTAACTGCCCTGTATCTCTATCTATGATGTGCAGATATGGGAACTATCCCTAATGGGTTGTGTTAATGACAAGGCCTTCGGTTAAGTTTAAGGCCATTTGTACACAAATTAACGCCAAGACGTTAAGTACCTCGGTACTTAAAATCCAGTGATCTGGCTGGAGATCGATGCCTTTTTATAATCTAATCGTGTAGATAAGTTGATATTTCGGATTAAGAAGCTCGTCGCTTTCGTCCAGAACGTCACAAACATGGTTATCAAACCAGTTTTGCAGATCTATCGCCGCACAGCCCTCGTGGCTGGCTTCGCGAAGACATTGATCAGGACCGTAAAGTTCGAATGACAAGATGTGTTCTGGCTGCGCGAGCATGACAGCGCCGATTTTCATGGATCTGTCAAGAAACTGACGCAGTTCCCCAAGCTGGCTGGTGAACAAATTAACAGATCGAGAGAATGGCAGGAAAATGATCCGCCAGCTAAGAAGCCCTCCAAGGCGGTTAAGCAGGATTTCTAGTATTGCATTCGCCAATTGTTTCAGAATAATAACTCGGACTAGTTGGTTCGTATTAGCTGCTATAGCCACAACCATGGGTATGATCACAGATGATTTATCCTCACCTATATTGAGTTATATGGCCGTATTTTGTCTAGTTAGTGAGGATATTATTTGCTAGGCGATGTTAACTTGCTGTGGACGAATCAGGAAATTCCCTTCCAGTTACAGCAGCATTCATTCTAGTCGTTCTGAAGGATCCTAGTTACGATGCGGCTTATAGGTGAGCTTATTAATCACGGCCTAGGTATCATGATCGCACGTAACCAAGCGAGAAGCTTACTGCCATTGTGTAATCCGGATTGCCATTTCTATTAACACGGCTCTCCATTATCGCCTAACCAATGTCGGTGGAAGTTATGTGAGCCATCTTAGAAGGGATATAATTCCCAGTTGTGAACCTAAATCGAGCTCGGTCGCAACAAACTTAGCTCTACTTAACTGGCATTTGAGCAAATCCCGAATCTGCTGCAGACTTTTTTGGACTTGTCGTGCACAGTCCGACATGAGGTCTTTCTCAGCTATAGGCGGTGCTTCATTTTTGAAAGTGAGAGCGATGTCTTCCAAGTTGTTTAAGGAGCTAATGCTTTTTTGGAAGTCATGTAGGTACTGAGCTTTAAATGAGTTGCGCCTGCTTAGCAGAGCACGTTATACGAGAGCGTTAATCTCTGCCGTATTATTGTGTACTCTGCGCCGGTGAACCACGGGAAACTTGAATTTCACGGCGGTTAGATCGTAGGCAGTGGGGCGGCTATGGAATAAGCGGTCCCAAACTAGATAGGTTATTACTTGCGTCTTATTAGTCGTTCTATCCGTACTTTGGTAGCGCACATATTCACGTAGACCTAGCACTAACCTATTGAGTGAAGTTTGTGCTCGAAGCACGTAGTTCTAAAATTCGGAATTATGATACTAAGTGGCGAATAATTATCTTGCAGTAGGTATGATCTTTCCTATATCTAAATACTGATCTTATTCCTCATCAGAGTCGGGTCTAATGAGCTAAACGCGAGGCCATTACTAGAGAAAGTGATTGATAATGCTATTAGTAACTCAGTTCAAAGATTAATCATAGAGCTTTTGCAGTCGTGCAGTGTATTGCTTCTTATTCTTATAGATAACCTTTGGCAGAGCAAGCTGCGGCGATGCGTGAAAGCCAAAGGCGTTTAATTTGATAATCTTACCTAGCCACTGCCTCTATAGTTTATAACCATACTTAAGGTCAAACACTGGAAACGGCGGTGATTCCGTCCCGGCGAGGTCAGTAACGGTAGAGAACGCAAGTAACGTCTTCAATAACATAGGATCGGATTTTGGAGTATACGCTATAGTCGCGAGCAGGAACATTATCGGGTATCTATGCTCTTCTTAATTGCTTACCAACATCACGGTTTGAAGAGAGCACTAGTATTCTGGAATGGTGGTTTCAGGAGGTTCTAGCCATAATGGATTGTAACTAAGGATCAGTGAGGGCGAGTAACCTAGGATAGCCCTCTTTTAAGCTTTAAGTAGGCCGAAGAGGTCTCTACTAACACGTAGGTTCGTAGACCATTCATCCACTAACCTAGAGACTGTGGATACCGCTTCTATCTCTCTTAAATGCTCCTTTATGTCTTGAGATTGATGATCCGCGACTGAGCACGGTAATTCGGCCCCGAAGTTGCAGACACGGATCTGTGTATCGTGCTGTGCACCGCGGATTAACAGATGAGCGTTGCTGGCAGGTAATGGCGTGTTTCGCTCGCAGCCGTCGTGGAACATATTGAGAATATGCTCATGAGCCAATATTCTTTTCACAGCGGACCTGAAGTGTGGGTGCTGTGAAAATAGAGACAGAGAGTTATTTCACTTGACCTCTTATATTACTTTGAGGTGCTTAGGGTAATACTCTCTCTTGGGCGTTAGGGTAGCTAGTAAGCTTAAAAGCTATTTTTCTGTCTGTCTAAGGCTAGTAAATGAGTATATTGATCCCTAACTAAGGACGGTAAGCGCTTCCTCTGTACCAGTCCTCCCGGTCAGTATATTGGGGAAGCATGATAAAGTCACTACGTGTAGGTAGCTTTTGTAGAGGCTCTTTAAGGTTAACTAGTCTCCAATCATTCGCCTAAGGTGCATATTAACGTTATAAACCATATATTTAATCTTTTCTGAGGAACCTGGTGAGACCGTTGTCTTGACATAATCATTAAGTGGGATGGACTGAGGTCGACTGAAGGGGATAATAACTTTGCGACTTACCTGGTCGTTAGACCTTAAAACCAATTTAGACCGTAACCCTGTAAATGTGCCAAATGTCTATGTTTCATTGACAACCGTTCCGGGAAATTGTTTGCTAGCGAGAAGAGATGATCCTTAGCCTATAGTGAAGTCTAGTTGCATTCGTGGTAGTCGCACATAGGTGGTTTAGGAATGCTCATTATAGGTTATGACCATGTGTTCTCGGACCTCAAGGCTTGCCAGCACCCTAGATAATGTTTCTGCCCTCTCACTTCGAATCTTAATGAGAGAGAGGCTCCCTTTCCTCAGCATATACCCCTGCTCTTTACGCATAAGCCACTACCCATTAGAGGAGGAAGACCATGGCTGTGTACGGGGTCTTCATTCCACATGTTATGACCCTAGGTTGAACTAATGGAAATATTCATAGATCATAAAATGCGGAAAGTCACCGTTAAGGCGAGACGTCGGAATTAGCTCTTAGACGACACCAGATTTCTCGGATCGAATGAAGAGGTCAGCACTATTCAGTCTAAAGTGTACCTATTCACACTTAGTGTCTAAATAAAGGCCCAAAACATCTGAAAAGTGTGTTAGATAGAAGTGAGAGACCCTAGCTAACTACGGCCAGGCTAGAATTACATGCTGCAAAGAGCCTTCAATTACCTTATGTCTATATATGTCTCGTTTAGATATGAATTACATGCCCAGCATTAACAACAGAGCGACATTAAGAATTTGCTGTCAAATATTAGACCCGATAGAAGTGCTCTTAAGAACAAAAATTACCTTACCAAACAACCGTTTAAACGTCTTGTGCTCGCTGATAGTACTAAGAAGTCTTAAAAGTGAAATGCCATTAATCAGCAATTCGCCAGAAAGTGTATTGAAGTGAATGGTGCGTGTAACTCGTTCTCTATCTGCCGAAATGCACATCTCTAGCCACTGGCGCAATTCCGATTGAAGAGGCAGCCACGATCCATGGGGATAAAACCCAGACCAAACCTTCCTAACTACTGCATTAAGGCCCTCTACATCGGTAGCAATAAGTTCGTGAAGAAGTAACTTATGTGCTTGGGCAACTTTCAGTCGTTCAGACCGCGTCGTGTCAAAGGCTTGTACTTATTGCAACGGCGCATGATTATTTAATAGGATCAGACACTCACAATATTTAGTAACGTCACTACTGCTTTCCAATACACTACTATAATGCGACGCTTCGGCATTAAAGGTGATTAGTGTTATATTTGTAGCTGCCATAAGGCGCTGACTAATATTGCTACGTTCTGCGTGGTCATTCGTTCTCGCAAATAACCCATTAAGCTCCCGGGCCCATATTAATATCGTGTGATAGATCTGTTTCAAAAAAGCTAAGCATTCTATGCGAATGTCCTTATGCGGAGAGAGAGATAGCAGGTGCTAGGTAAGAACACCTATCAGTCGGATAGTATTTGTCCCTTGCTAGTTAGTCTCGTGCTTATTGAAGGTCTCTTTCATAACGGCTAAGAGGTCTTTCGTAAAATTTCTCTCCGCAAGAGAAGTATGGGCTTAGCGCCATGTGGTCTCCGGCAAACTGGAGCCCACTTACTATATGGCTTATTGAAATAGTAATGAAACATTCTTGTGTGTAAAGTTAAGCACAGTAGAAGCTAGTTCTCTGGCGACATTATATAGCTAGAGCCGCTCGCTAGCTCGTAGATCACTGAAGGCATAATATTTATGTGCTATAAGTCTTTAATCACATAACACTTAACGAGTAATAATCTTGTTAGATGTGTAAGTAGTTCCAGTTAATATGTCTTGGAGATTTTAGTAGGGTCTAGATAATACTTTGAACGTGCACTAGGGTTAGATGTTAAAATCATTACTAGAATTAGAAGTTAGCTAGCGTTAGGAAAGGTCGTAGAGAGCTAAATGCATTCCTTAAGCCATACACACGCTTTTCACTATCGCAATTAATATCTTTCTCTTGTTATAGTGCGATAACACGAAAGGTTTTGCTGATGACGCTAGTCCAAAACGAGCGTGTGGCGTTCGAACCTAACACCTAAGGCCTTCGTAGGTGATCAATTAATACATGCGATCTGCGCCACACTCTTGGAGGCTATTCCGAGCGAAGACATCTATCTTCAAAGAGTAGGAGGCATATCGCCAAGCTTAGATAATGGGAGGAATGTTAAGTTTAAAAATAGCTACCTTGAGTTTATCTTCTTTTGCTGGAAGTGGCCATTTATGAATGTAGATCTTAAGGCTTGCGGCTTCATTCTTAAGTCTGCATTTTCGGCAATGCAGACTATGCTCTTCCGTGTCATTATACCATCGATATACCTTGATGTAGAAGCACTGAAGTTAATTCAACTCTTAAAGAAGGGTGTCACGTCGGGATTTCTTTTAAGCTAATTCTGACATTTTCTGGTCCCTCTCACGCTAAGCAGAATTTTCAATTTGTCAGCGAAGGTCTTAATGAGCAGCAGACGTATTGTAGTAGCGCACTGCAAATGCGCTACTATTCATGACGCTGCAAAACATTAATTTTAGACTTGGAGTAAGCTGATAACCTCTTTCAGTTAAATATTGTTCGATCTTTCGCAATCTTTCCATCTAAGAATACTTTAGAAGAAGCAAAGGTTAGAGCATTTCGTGTGTCCATTCAGAAGAGAAATCACGCATTAAGGGTACCGCCCATAAAGTTCAACGGTCCATTTCCGCCCATAGCTTCATTAATGTTAGGCACATAAGCAAGTAGTTAACTGGATCACCCTCGTATACCTCTAAAGCTGTACTTCAATATTTACGCATGATGTCTACTAGCCCCACGA